AGCACCATTAAGCTTTGCCACCATATAAATAAAATTACTACATTTTATTAGTACGTATTAAATCGTAATAATATTTCACAATATTACTCTTTTTACTGTATTTTTGATCAAATAAATGCAGCCTTAGTGAGCATAATAGACTTTAACATGTAAAAGTTAACTTCAAAACATTCAAAAGTTTGGACGATTTTTTTTTTTATTAAAATAGTTTTTACTCGAAAAATAAATAATCCTCCCCATAATAGTTCGAAGAGAAAAGAAATAAAAGGACCAGAATCACATTTAATTTTATTTTATTTAAAGAGTTATGTTTCTTCTTTCTTTTGTTATCAGTTAATGGCCTAATGTACACTGGGGTGTTATTTAAAGCTGTGGTATTTCTGTCCTCTGTACTAGTGTAACTAAACCAAACTGCAAAAATAGCGTATAGTGTAAAATGTTCTCCAACACGCACCAGTCAGGGCATACAAACAGATTTAAAAGTGTATTTCAGTCAGTGAAACTGTAAGCAACAGTAGAGTGTTTGAGATTTATATTAACACGGAAACTACCTCATGGTGTCAGAAAAACATCCATGTCTATGTTATTTCTTGACTCCACCTACGCTACTGTAGGTCAGGATTGTAAGTGAAGGTCACTGAACACTATGGCAGCTGGACTGCAGCCCCAGGGCAGGACGTTATTAAGCACAGCTGATCTTAATAGAGTATGACAGTCACAATGACATATTAATGAAGATTCTTTCCCCAGAGAGGGGCTGACTGACAGGATATTGGCAACTGGACCAACGGAAACATTTCTTACCACCGCAGAACGACCCACCAGTGAATTTCTGCTACAGCAATGGCAATGCAGCTGGATTTGTGGTCTGAGTGCACCACAGATTTACACTTAAACAAACACGATTTTGCTGATTTCGGAGAAAACTTTAACCATGGAAAATACATCTGGTTGTACCACACTCTGAGGTGTGCTTAAAACATAAACAGTTTGGCCTAAATATTTCTGGGGGATGTGTAAAACATACAGCGCATTCTACCGAGTTCTGTGGGTACAGATTCCTGTGTGCCTGAATATCCCTGCTTTTGTGCTGTTCCTCTTCACTAAAAGACCAAATACTGTGAAGTGTTTATCAAGTATTAAATCACATAAATTACAAAACAAAAATTCACAGTCACCTTTGCATTCAGTATGAATGAGCTCCAGAACTAAAGATGCTATTGAAAAACAAAAATCCAATTTAAGGTCCTTGCACACTGAGTCCGAAATTCGCGTCCAAAATTTTTGCAGGTAAAAGAATAAATACGACCTCATGTTTTGTCAATCACGTTTACACACTGCCTCCGAAACTTTCGTCCGTCATAAAAAAAAAATCGGATCGGGTTCGATTTTCTGTGTTTTCGCATCCGTAGCAAGCATTTTGAATGGTGTTTTGACAATTCAGAGCCACCGAATGACGAATACGAAAAAACGCATCGAAAATTTCGGACTCAGTGTGCAAGGACCTTTAGAGTTGAGAATGTGATCGGAACGATTTAGCACCTCAGGGTACACGGTAGAAGCAGCTGTATTGGGGGCGTATTACAGAAACTTTCTATCTTAAGTTGAGATCTGACAAGTTAATTTAGGATTTTTCACAAATTCATATTAAAGCAGCAAATCTTAAGTTGATTTAGGATTCTTATCCTATCTTACAATAGTCTCATCTTATCTGTAGTTAGGAAATCTTAAACCCCTCCATCGAGTTCGGTAAAAGAAACAAAATAGGTGGTGCTTTTCATTTAGTGAAGTTTTGATAAGCTTGGTAGAAAAGGCAAAGCCTAATCCTTTTTGTTTCATAGGGGTCTAATTATTTGTCAGAGTTTTGTCGTCAAAGTGCAGCACATCATTTGGGTGTTCACAAAGTCTTTCCACCATCAAACATCGCTGTTCTTCATCTTGTATCATTATATCATTAATGTGACGCTATTCTCAGACAAGGCTATTATTGTGTGATTTTTACAGTTGGCTTTCAAATCATTTTGAATTTAGGACACCATTGGGGTTGTTCTAAAGTTAAGACAGTTTTTAGGAATTTTTGTGGAGTTAAGATGCTTCTGTAATACCCTTTTCCTATCTGTAGTTAATATAAGATTATGCATTTAAGAAATGTCATTTTGTAATAGCTTTTTTCCTAAATGAGGTCCTAACTGAAATTGCCATGGTTACCAAACAGATAAGATAGGATTCTAAAGTTAGGATCTTTCTGTAATGCGCCCCCTGATCTCTGCTCAGCACAGCATTTTCAGACAGCTACATTCATCCTCAACATAATTTCACTTGCTTTGTTTTCATTAGGTTTTCAAAATGTTGCAATTGGCTCTACATAATAATCACTCAGTTTGTTCCGATATTAATATAACACAGTAATGAGATTAAATGCAGGAAATATTCCAATCACCCTAAAAATTACTGTGCCACATTTTCACACCAAAGCTAAAAAATTATTTTAGATTGCATATTAAGGTACTCAATACATCCCTCTCACATTTCATTGTTCCTATATTTTACTTCAGTCACTTTAAATTTAGTGAGGCTCATCTGGCATGAGAGAATGGAGTTTAAAAACATTGCTGTCTCACCACAGCACGATAAAGAAGATATTGAAACATGTCACACACACATAAAAAAAAAAATCATGATATTGTAATATTTAATTCTAATAATTATATAATAGTTTTTCTCTCAGAACTCAACATTTGGTGTCACAATAGAGTAGCCTACAACATTCATTTTCCACATAACTTAAATTGAAACGCTTTAGTAGTGAAGCACCAACATTCTTAAAACCAAAAATATTCAGCCGAAATATCATTTTTGGCCAAAATAGTTTTGGAAGGCAGAAATCATCATCCAAAACAGTGACGTTTAATTATCATCTATTTCGTACACACAAGGAGGATAGGCTACAGCAGGTAAACATGTCAGCAGTGTGGATGCCAATTTTTGGCTAAATGAAGTGTTTAAGTAAAAAAAATCATTTTGGTGCATCACTTACGGAGAGACAGAACATTAAAATAATTAAAGGGGTAAATGTTACTTGTGAACTAGTGTAGTTTATTGTCTGGTTTGGGTGGGTTTCAGTTCAGTTTGTTTCCATGGTTTTACATTGTTTGATTATCAGTTGCACCTGTTCTCTATTTCGTTGATTGGTTTGCCCTGTGTATTTAATCTCCGTTTCTCTTTCATTTCTTTGTCGTTCTCATCACGTGTTCACGGTTGTTCAGTTAGTGTTTTGAGTCCAGTATTTTGTGTTCAGTTTAATAGTTATACAAATCATTACTGCTAGCAATAAGATCCAGCCGATCTCATCCTTTGCAATGAGTAATGAGTCCCAAATGGACCACTTGCACTGAGCTTCGTGACGCACTTCCGTTTGGAAATAGTACGTCTCACTTATTTCCGGTTATGTTTCCTTTCAATGTACTGTGGTCAATGAGTTGAACAAACGCCACCTAAAATGAGTGTCCGCAATAAGATTTAAAAATTTGGCAATTTTTATTGACAGGAGAAGGTATATTCTGATGTTTACTGTTTGCAGAATTTTCCTAACTTATCGTAACAAGGTTTTAATCCAACCCAAGCCGATCTGAGAAAGCAGCGGGTGTTAAAAATACGCCATTATTTCACCACAGGGTGTCAGTGTTCGTCTAAACTAGTGACCGCGACGCTGTACGAACAACGAACAATTTATTTATATGGATTAAATATTTTAATCATTCTGTGTCATTTTTCAATGTCAATCTTTTCACTCTTTACATGTTTATGCCCAAAATGCTATACTATTCAAAGTAGTTGACTGTCATTCTCCTCTACGCTGTGTGCGTTACTGATTAAATAGCCTAGCCTATTTAACATCGTTATAGGCACCTCGCGAGCATTCACTCATTCAACCATTTTAAAAGACTGGAATAAACCGGAAACTCCCGATATGTACTAACTAGAACGCGGTAGTAGTTGTGCAAGTAATCCAATGGGAGAGAAAAAAGAAAAAAAAGAAAAACAAGTTCAATGTTGAAACATTATTGAACAAGAACACAAATGATTCCTGGAAAATACCTTAAAAACATTTAATTACAGAAAATACTTATATTTCCTGTAAAATTAAACAACTAAGCCTAGAATTACAGATGACAAATAGAGATGATAAATGCACAGAGACAACAATGACTATCCAAAGCTGAATCACAGCAGGTCATAAAAAGGGCCGTTAACTTTTATTACTATATTGTTCATAGTTTTCTTAATGCTTGCTTTTCTTCTGTGCTGTCTCGCAGTAGGCGTTTAACAGACTTTAATCCAGTTTAACAAACATATGTTGAGATCTACGGTCAATCACGTGAGGAATTATGGGGAAACTGAGACAATTCCACCCACCAACTGCCTCCTGGACATTGGCTGATCATTCTAGACACTCAGGAACTGAGAGTTCAACATGACGAGTTCACTGTGGGTGGTGTTGGGATGTATGATCATGGACCGTGGTGTGGTCACTATCAGAGATGGACTGGTCATAGCAAACTAAGGGGATTTAAGTCACTCTGACTGACGGAGCATTTGTGAACTCCTTAATGGGTCATACAACCTATTTTAACACCGGTTAGTCATCATGGCAGTTGTGAAAAATGCTACAAACATTTCTGTGGTAGGCTGTGGAGTGTAGGGGAGACATAGCACAACAGCGGCTTCTGATCCAGTCACTCTTAAGTAAAAGCATCAGTGTACTTCAAAATATGCAGTCTGAAGCAAGCAAGATGAAAACCAAAACTCTGTATTTTTGACATTTCAGCCAAATATTTTCAGGTCCAAACATTTCGATGCATTACTTCTTCGAAATTATCACTTCAGCCAAACATGGTTAAAATAAGTTTTTTTTCAGCAGCTGAGAGGAAAAACTTTATTTAAGATATTTTATATTGTTGCAGACATTTTTGGGCAGTATTTAGCAAACTCCCTTCTACCTGAAAAGCCTTTCGACTGCTGGGAGATGACACACATGTGACAGACCGTTGGTCCACCAGGTCCAATGCCTGAAGAGCACATGGGCCAAACACAAATCGCAATCTGAAACAGAGACAGAACAACAGCAAATATACTTAGGGCATTTTAACACCTGTAGATTGTTTGTTTTGTTCCAAAACAGGGATTAATATTATTACAATGTTGCAATTTCTTCTAGGGGTGTAATGACACACTCGTAAAATTTGTTAAAATTCACGGTACACAACTATCGCGATACTTGCCAAAATAAAGAAGAGCTTGCTTGCACTTGCACTTATACATTATATTCAACATTATATGTAGTGGTTTAATTTAATTTGTAGTAGTTTAATTTTCCTGTCACTGAACATCTGTAAACTTTTATTTTGTCTGATGCAGTACACTCACACTTGCAGGCATTCAACATACACGTATTTATATATATATATATTTTTTTTTTTTAGGAAAAATGCCTGCTTGTGTTGAGACGATTTGTATTGTAACAGAAGTTTCCTGATTCAAATTGTGTATAATACTGTTGAATTAGAGTGCATAGTTAATATGTGTACTATTAAGTGCACTTAAAGTTGGATTCAAATCCAACAACAGTTATCCAACAGGTTTGATTGTAGTTAGTTTGACTGAAGATAGTTAGCTTGGCAGTTTAAGTTCAAATTACTAATTTGAACTTAAACTGGCAAGCTACACTCTTAGAAAAAAGGGTTCATTGGGGTTCTATATAGAACCATAGGGTTCTTTACTCAACTCCAAAGAACCTTTTATGCTAAAAAGGTTCTATAATGACAAGAAAGAACCCTTTTGGCACAAAGGTTCTTTAGGCTATTATTCATTCATATATTATAATATTCTGCAACATTTTGTAGTTGTAATTAAATTATTGTTTATTAAACTGTTGTAGTAACTTAATATCATATTTTAATCATGCTGATTTTTGGAGGAGTAAAAACTGAAATGGCACTCGTGATATTGATTAACTACATAAAATTATATAAATATATACATTTTCTAACCCCCATATCTTGAATTTTGTGATCATTCACATGCATTCATAAATGCTTTTGAACACACTGAATAATGCAGTGAAAGAACGCACTCAAAATGCACACGCGCACTAGTAGCCTATAACTAACTTCATCATGTAGGCTAACTTTAGATCCGTGCACTCTGTAGGCACGATTTGTTTAGTTTTTGAAATATACTTGATAATGTTAAAGCGCACATCGTTAAAACAAAAAATACGATATTATCGCAGACGATTTAGCTATATCGCACACCTCTATATTGACCTTATCGTCATCATCATTATTATCATCATAACAAGAAATTACTCAGTACAAAAACAAACATAAGGGCTCATTCTAAGCCATTTATAGCTGAGGCTTTCGTCTTGTCTTACTTAGCCTTGTTTGCTGCTCTCATTATTTGTCATTTATGTGAAATTATTGTAGGCCTACCGCAACTAAACAATTTTGCATTATGGATTTAATTTTTTTATCTGTTGAACAGCAAACATAAACAAAAAGAAGTAATAAACTCATTATTTTCATTAATTTTACAAAGTAGCTAAACAATTTGTTTGCATTTGCGCGCAGCGCTGTCTCGCGAGTGCGTGCACGCACGTTTTTGAATTCCAACGGTCGAGAAGAGACTGATCCGTGATCCCCGTCTGCTGATTTAAATTGATGGTCTGACGGAAATATTGTTGTGGTAAGTCAGAGAAATACATCGATTTTTTTAAAGTAATTTACTTGTTATAAGCTTTAAACCCATTAGTAATGAAGTTGTCAATTTTCTACAGTGGATTTACACTAAAACACGAAAAAGAGCCTGAACCGCGACAGTGTCACAAGTTGCCTTACAGTAGTACATCGGTAAGTTAAGTTTTGTTGTGCTTGTTGCAAACTGTTAAAATTTTGTGTTTTCTGATCCTAAGTTTTTAACTGCAGATAGTGCTCTAATCTCGTTTTTGACCGCACACTCAAATGGTCATGAAGAACAGCCCTACAGAACAGAGCGCTTGTGTGAGTTCAGCTTAGGGGCGGTTCTAGACCCTTTTTAGGTGGGCTTCAACCCCCATATTTTTCGTCTCAGCCCCCCTAAAACTATAATCAGCTATCTGAACGATCAGGCCAGTGCTGCTTCTTAAGTAAAGTTTATCATTCTCTCTTGTTTACTGATCGACCCCCCTAAAGGTGAAATCCTAGAATCGCCCCTGCAGCTAGTGGTTAAATGTACTCGCACTTCGCACTTATGATGCTAGATAATTGTAAACAGCCCAATGTGAACACTCTTGTGATTCACTTCAACATTTTCAAACTTTATGAATGATTATTTTATGTTCAAGTCAAGTGTTGTCTAAGGAACTGGAAGCAGGTCGGTTTCTAAAGCACACACAGCTTAAAGGGATAGTTCACTTTAAAATGATAATTCTGTCATCATTTACTCACCCTTCAGTTGTTTCAAACCTGTATGAATTTCTTTCTTCTGCTGAACACAAGGGAAGATATTCATATCTATCTAACAACTTGAGGGTGAGTAAATGATGACAGAATTTTAATTTTAAAGTGAACTATCCCTTTAAAGCTGCAGTAGGGAGTTTTGAGAAAACGTTGACTTAGCCTGAAAATTTGAACAAGCACAACTTACAGGTCCCACCCCCTTGCTCTCTGCTGCGCTACAGCCCTCCCTCCACAGCGGAGCCTGTCGTGAACGCGCAGGCTAGTAAACCGGGCCACCCATAACGGCGGATAAAAAGTTATATGGCACATTCACTAATAGGGATTAAACGTCAATAATATGCTTTACATTGACTATGGCCTGCCCATACTTTGACTACAAACTTGGTCCTCAAAACATTATGTATTTTCCAATAGCCTACATGTAACTTTATAACGTTGCACTCTTTCTATAAGTTATAAATAGCTAGTAAGATAACGTTAATATAACGGTAACTAACGTTACAGTATGTAAGTAATTATTCTAGCGATATATAATGCTAGATAAGGTGTGCTAGTACATTTCAGTAACATGACAAGCCAGTGAATTAGCAGGTTTCAATTGTTACTTAGCAGAGTGCGTGACATTTTATCTACATGTTATGCGGCTAGAGTTTTGACACCGAGTCAATGGGCTCTGTGTAATTCTTTCTTTTTCGCTTGGTTATCGTCATCAGTCTTTTTCCTTTTACCTCTTTGTTTTATGAGCAGGTGTCACTCGAGAATTGGCAGTTTAGGTTGTTTCTCCGTCATAAGCACAGCTGCAGCACGCCGGCAATCTTGAGTTTGAACGACGGCTCGCGCTGTGCAAGAGAGGGGTGTGATCAGCGCGTACACGAGCGTGACTGACACTGCTAAGACATTCCTCCTGGCTCTGATTGGTTGTTTCTGACCGGGAGCGTGTATTTCTTGCAAATGGCAATAGGACCACTGGGAGGAGCCAGAGGAGCTTGATTTTTACACAGATTATCTGTCTCATATTCTACTGTCAGGACATAATGACAGTTTTAACAAATACATGTTTTCAAAAGTTACCTACAGGAGCTTTAACTACAATTAATCTGCCCTGATAACAAGTGTATTAAATTGACACTATATCTTTACTTGGAATGCGCTTGCTTGTAGACTGTACAATTAGGTTCTATTCACATGTTCTCATCCCCCTTCATCCATTAATTCCCTAAATCACTTTTCCTCTTTAGGGTTGTGGGAAGGCTGGAGCCTTTTTCCCTCAGCAACATTTTTAAATTGCCTGTTCAAATACAAATTTGTTTAATGCTTTTTGTAGAAGATTTGTTTTTGAGAAATGTACATACGCATCATGATTGTTCATTTTAAAGTTTTAGGCGATTTTATATGAAAAATCAATAAATTATTTAGAAATTCCACTAATATTTATATTCATTTTTACATTTACAGAATAAAACTTTACTTTTTTTTTATGGTAGACCAAGGTTAATAAAGTAGTGACATGTACATGATGTGAAACTAATAGTAACTTTCTGTTTTCCTTTTCAAGATTACATAATGGTAGACAAATGGACAACAGATGATGTCTGCAAATGGATCCAAACCATCAACCTGATTGATTCCAAAGAAGTCTTCAGAGGTATTTAATGGAGTTCTGCAAATGCCCATTCTGTAATGTCATTAAGTGTACAATACACAAGTACCTTAAACATTTGCAACTACTTCAACACCAGCGAGACTTCAAAATAATATGTAATATAGAGGGCTGTAAGAGGAGCCATTTCACAAATAATTTATATGTTTTTCCAACTTGCAGGAATCAGTAAAGCCAACCAATGAAGCTTCAAACCCCCTCCATGCAAAAAGAGCCAACATCAATATGGAGGGTGTCAACATTGTGAGCGCAGAAATGGATGTGATGGAGGCAATGGAGTGCCTCTTTGCTACTTATTTCGTATTCAGTGTGGAATACCCCAAGCACATCACTCACACGATGAATTTTGTTGAGCACTACCTGTTTAACCCTCTGGGGACCAAGGGTTTTTTGGGGCCCTTGGGATGTTTTGACATGCACTGACATTTGTGCTTTTTTCAGTTATTTATAAACATGTTAATGGCAAAGGTGTAAATTCACTCTATATAGCACAAACGGGCTACCATAATCTGTGAACAACATGTATGTACATGTTTGTATTTTTGAGAGAATATTATTTATGCATGGTTATTGAAAAACTTAAAAATAAAAGTTTCTGAAATAAGGCCACAAAACACATATTGATTATTTCTTCACAAGACTTTTGAAAATTGTATCACATAGTCTAGAATATTTGCTCCAAAACTATGTGAGAATCATCCTGACTACTCATTCAGATAAGTCAATAAAGTCTTTTATAATGTGTATGACGTGTTTAGTGTGAGAAAGCTTTATGCAAGGAGGCGTGATCTCTCATTAATATGTATGGCATTTCACACCTGAGAAAGACAAAGACCCTCCCATAATAGCCCTATTAGGTGCTATCAGGCCCCATTACGAGGAGCCTTTCGCAAAGAATGAGGAGATTTAAAAAAGAATGGCTTTTAGATTGTTTGGATTTATTT